TTTGATATAAATTCCGTGTTTAGGTTCCTTGATAATGAAAAGGCCCCCGATTAGGAATGGGGGAAGATTGTCATAAAATGTTATCACTCCGATAGAACGGCCCCATTGGCTTTATTTTATCATCTTTCCAGCCTTACGGTAAGTTTTTATCATAATTCAGAGACTGGTAAGCTGACAAAATTCCCTTCAGGAATTTTCATGTTCCTGCTAAGGAAAAAAGGTAGTGGAATTTGGATTTTGTTTTGGTCGTCACATAATTACAGTGGTTCTTGTTGAATATTCAAGCAAGCCGTTTCAATTTTTCCCGGTTTAAAAAATAATCGCGCTCCTCTCTTGATATTGAAATTTCAATTTACACCTTTTTTTATCTAGTGAAATTGTTGACCAACCAAGTGAATTACTTTTTTGAAGAAGTTTATAAAATCAGCAAGCCAGCCCGGAGAAACTAAAGCCAACGACTAAAGCAGATACTATTAAAATAAAACATTTATGGCTGCGTTATTGAATTTTCTTCCGGATACCGTGGTATTTTCGCATTTGTTTTTTTAAATTGCCTTCTAAATTTTAAGCTAACCTAAAATTTAAGCTCTCGTTTCTTCTAGTGTTTTTGTTTTACAAACTATATTGTAATTTCCTTTTACTTTCTTCTTGTGGGTCGGGAAGACAATAGCCGAAAAAGGTTCTTTCAGGTGTTTGTTTGGGTTTGTTTTTTGGATGCCGCCAAATTATTTAAGGGTTTTTCGCGTCCCAGCCACATGCCTAGACTTACGCATTATTTCCTATACGACTTTTTCAACTGGCTTAACATATTATTATTCTTTTCTTTACATGTTTCAGATAATAACAGCATAATTGTATTTTCTTTTTTGTTAAGGTACCTTGAATATTTCCCCAACCTGTTCTGGTCCGTTTACAGTTATTGCTATCTCGTGAACTCAGTAGAAAAGCTAAATAATTCCCAACGTAGTTCTACATAAGGGAGACTATTGTTTATAATATGCTTCGGTTTTCTGCAATTTTTTACCATCCCTCTGTTGTAAATAAACCCAATATTGCGTTCACAATCATAACAATCTCACCTCCAGAGTAGTAAACATAATCGGAAGAAACCATAGCATTTTGATGCGTCGCTGAGGTCCCATATTCATTATGAGGGGTCCTTTTACTGTAAGCTAGGAGGATGTATATCAGAGAATTTTAAATTTTCCTCGATTTCACTAATAGTTTCACAACAAGGAAGACTTTACCTGTTATAGAATAGATGAAATCGAATTAATTAAATTTTGGAAAAAAATAGAGAAGTTTTATAACCACAAATTTTCTCTCTCATGCATAAATTCTTTAATCTATTTTAAACAGACTTCAGTATAATATAGATAGTTCTTCACTAATAAAAAATGGACTTTAATTCCATATGATCATATCAAACAGAATGAGAGACATAATGATAAAAAAAACTTAAAATAACAGACGATATATTTCCGTGATGGTGTTCTAACTTCACTCGATATATAGGTTTTCTGAAATTAATGCTTCAAAAACGAACACCGACGAGTGTCTTAAGTGTAATACAATTGGTTCATATGTTATATAACCGAGTTACCTTATTTCAGCATGTTACCTGTAACTCTATCCCCTTATGGAAAATTCTATCGGAAGCGTTTACCTTTACTTGTGTGCTTTTGACATTAGGAATTAATTTTATACGACAGTTTAATTTGATTACGTGCCTATTTGCAGTTTGCCAGAATTTTACCGTAAACCCCTATGAGGATTAAATAGTCTTTTGGATTGCATTCAAATGCGAAGTATAGTCTTGCGTATCTTATCTGGAAACTGGAATATTTGAACAATTCAACTCGATCCGGGTTTTGCATAGTTCGTGTTTCGTTTTTCGTTTTCTTTGAATTGTCTACCGTTGGGTTGATTGAGAGTAACTTGCAGAATGGTATTTCGAAAGATAATACGATTGGTTATTAACTGACCAATGTTTTTGATTTCGGTTTACCGTAAAATACTATAATTTTATTTGTAAATGTGAAAAGTGTATGTGCCTGTTTTGACTCCATCGCATTTTGATTTCAATAAAATATTTGATGATGATATATTAAATTTCGACTATATTATTCGTTGCCCGAATTTGACATTATATTCACAATTGCTTAGTGTTGGACATGAGTATGATACTCATTGTTTGTTTCCAAGTGGTCTGAGTAATTAGTATTTGATATATATCAATTCGACTACGAATTTCAATTATTTCACATTAAGTTGAGATTAAATTTCTAACTAGATGTAATTATATTACTTTTATTTCTTTTCTAAATAAAGATTACTTTATAAATATAAACAATAATTCTCGTCTTATTCTAATATTAACTAAATATATGATATTTTGAATATAAGTATAATAGTGATGAATTCTTCAATTTAGTTTATGGGCTAATAAAAAAGAATGTTCATTCTTTTTAAAAATGAAAAAATCTCATTAGAAAGTTGTTTAGATAATTTGTCTTTTTATTGAAAAATTTATACTTTTAGATAGAAGAAATGGTGTCACACAATAGTTATTTAAGTTTTTGATTTCTATTTTTATAGTTTGTCATAGTTTCCCAACTACTCGCTTTACAATTCGTAAAGATGATGGGAATAACATGTACCAATTTCTCCCTAGTATAACTTGACGCTTATCAGCAAATCCCCTTGTACTCATTAATGTGTTGGTTTCTCGATTTGTATGCTCTCATGCTGAGGAAGAGTTTTTAGTAACATTATTTTATTAATGTTTTTTTCCCTTTAAGGTCTTCAATTAGATCCATGAATTTTCCCCGATTTATTTTAATCTCTCAGATATTAATTTATTTAAATTGGTAATAATAAATGTGTTTGATGGGACAGTAATGTTTATCTTTTTACTGTTTTATGGATTGAATCGTCTAATTTAATCAATCGACGTCAACGGAAGTGAATTTACTATCTGTTAGACACCATTTTTTCTGCTTTCGTTGGACTGGTTTTCTGTTATAGTGAATAGTATCTTTATACTCGTATCTTAATTCCAACTTCTCCATTTTGTAATGTGATCGAGTATTAATTTACGTCGGGCGCATAATGTTTTATATTGTTTGCGTATATTTCTAAACCGATCGTTAAGAGTCAGTATTCAAGATTTTGTCTTGGACCTGGGTGGGTGTTTTGATGGAATATGGTCACAATAGTTTTTGGTTCATAATATACTTTTTCCAGTATTTTATAACAAGGTCGGGATTAATTTGTGGCTACATATTTGGTTCCCTACATCTGTGATATCGCTCTGATAAATAATTTTTGGTACCATAAATAGAGTCAAATAGCGATTTTGTTTTCAACTTCTTTTTTATTTATGTTTTTTTTTTTTTATGCATCCATAGCTCAATGATTTCCTTTTCTTTTGTTTGTGAGTGCATAAAAATATGTATTTTAAATTGAGCCCTTATTGATTTTTCAGTTTGTGCTAAGATATTCATTATAGATGTGTTTATATGCATTAAATCATCATATATATGGATTTCATTTCTTTATTGTTAGATATATTTTAATTACATTATCCCTACAATTTGCTCCATTTACTGTCTTATTTGATGAATAAACCGTAGAATCATACATTTTTGGTTTAATACGTGGGTGAATATTTTCGGAGTTGGCAAATGATGTTCCCGACGCATGTACTATTGGGCGATATTTCTTTTCTATTGTCGGCTCTCCTTGGTGTAATCACGAGTCCGATTATGGTTAGAAGCGTTATGTGTCTGAACTGTACTATGCCCGTTAATAAAAATTTTCGTACCCCTTTTCTGATTGTTGTTAGTCGCATTTAAAAGGAACTATTTTTCACAATTTTTTGTTATTAAGCTGCTTGCCAGCGCTGAAGCAGCTATCGGACTGTTTTTTATTTATCATAAAAAATCACCCACCTATATGAATCCCCCACTTTGAATTTGTTGATAATGTATTGTTAATATATCTTAAAAGTAGAATTTTGATTGATAGGTGGTTATTTATTCAATTCAAATTAGATGTAATGCTGCTTGAATTCTGTTTGTGAAATATGAATCAGTTTTTAGGTCAATTCTCTTCCCTTATGATTGGATCTAAACTAAGTACTATTTTTATTAAGCTTGATAGATATTGTTAATCTGGTGTTAATATTGAATTCTTTAAACGAGTTACGAGATCCGAAAATATTTCATTTTTTGTGTCGGTTTTTTTAGCTAAGCCTGAATATATACTGGTTAATGATTTATATTTTAATTGGTTAAATTTGTTTTCTATGTGTGTTTTTGTCTCGTTGAAGTTTTTGTAGTTAGAATGTCTGGGATGTCGATGTAAGATCCTCTTGTCAGCAAATTGGTTCTGTGAAGTAGAAGTCTGTGATTGGTTTTGTCAAAAAGGTGGTGTGTTTCAGTGTCACCTCCTGTAAAGACCCGGATTTCTTATAAGTTTGTCTCGAGGTGTATTGTGTTGATGGGATCTAGCTATGATGGTTTCTTGGATTTTTTATTTCCGTAAGGTTTTCTCCTAATGTACTTAATTTTTTCTTTTTACACTGGCGACGAATTAAGTCGGCTCAATAGGAATTGGCTTTTTATTTTCGGGGCGGGTTATTCTGCTCCTAAGTATATTTTGAGAAACGAGGCTGCAAGTGCAGTCCAATGACCCATGGTTTTTGTTTTATATTAATTCATGGATCATTTTCTATGAGAGTATACAAATATTATGTTGGTCTTATTTGTAATATTTTTCTTTCCTAGGATTCAAATGTGTTTTTCTTTTCATTCTCGGAAAATAAGGTGTAGTGGTACACTGGGGATTTCATACCGTTTCTTTTCGATTATGTCTGTAATAGTCTTTATCTCCTAATCATTGCTTATTTGTCACTTTTTAGACTTTGGATGAAGTGCGCACAATAACATTTCCAGTTGAACAATGAGAAT